CAAAACCCCAAAACCCCAAAACCCCAAAACCCCAAAACCCCAAAACCCCATAGAGCTTAAAATAATGAATCATTTGAGATCTCTAAGAACATAAGATTAAGGATTATTGAAAAAATTGCTTAAAATTATTCTTTTAAATATTCAACTTAATGAACATACAGTTATTAACTAATGAGTAGAAATCAGTTTCATTTACACTTTGTGCATTCTGAGTCCGCACATTTAAGATATGAAACGCATGATGGAGCTGAATCAGCATTAGCACCGTATCTGCATATGTAGTTTTCAGCACCATAAACAGCACCTTCGGCTGAAAGTTGAAATTGATACATCGTGATTTTTCCACCATCCTTATCAGGACAATTCTTCTCAGTTGTAACCTGGGTTGCTTTCTAGATTGAATTTGAAATACTATTTTCAAGCTGAAAACCAACTGTTGCTTCCACAGAAAATTCATGGCTGCCTGTAACAGGATTACCAGTGGTGTATTTATAACCTAGGGTCAGGGAGGCAGAGAAAGTTTATGTGGAAACTTTTGTGTTATCAATTTGCAAGCCTTGCAAGACTGAGACTTTCAGGGCGTTACCCCATGATGAATCTAGGGCTACCCATCTAGCAGTGATGGGATAAATCTCATCAGCTCTGCCTATTTTGATGCTTTGAACTTTTCTATAGAATTTTCCTAGGTTAGCCTAGGCTTAATCTGGCTGATTATTTTTCTTGTGTGCATATAAATCAACTTAACTAGAAGGGGTAGAGGATCCTTGAATGAATCCAGATACACCACCCTGATAGTCTTGATCGAAAATTTCGAGGACTAAGCCTTGTGGAACTCTGAAACCTCTAATTTCTTCTGGATCAATGTTGTTTAACTTCAAATCTCTGGAATTGTAATTTCCTGGTTTGAGTACAGTTGCTGTATCGCAATTGAATTCATCTCCACCGAAAACAGAGACAACTGGAGATTTAGCTTCATCGTAAGGGGAAACTACAATAGTGCTAGCATAATCTGAAGCCCATCCCATGAATTTTGTGGCGTAGGGGCCGACTAGAATAACTGCATTCTCTGGTTTCTTTTTCTCATCTTCGCAGTTTTGATATCTACAGAGCTTGACCATTGCCTTTTTACCAACTTTGA